TTCTCAAATAAACTTTAAAAATGTTAGTCAAAACCTTTTCAATTAATTAAAAATAGTAATACTTACTTAATCATTTTCTCAAAAGGTTTAGTCAATTAATTCAAAATGATATTCATGTTTTAATTTATTAAATTGGTTTAAATTATTATTTCAAAAATGAATTAAATAAATTCTAACTAATCTAGTTTTATTAATATTCTAATTACTTATTTTTAATTCAAATAGTTCAATTAAGGTCCCCTTTTCTAAAAAAAAGTTAAAAATAATTAATAAATTTGTTCTTTGTTTAGCTTTTCTTTTTCTTTTTTTTTCAAAATTAATCAAAATATTGTAAGTTATTATTTTTTATGTTAAGTCATTATTTTCCTAAAAAATAGTTAAATATATTTTAGTCAAGTCGCAGGTCAACCGCATGTTAACGGACGTTTCGAATGCTTAAATCCTTCTCAAAGGGTAAATTGAACCCCGAACCCCCTTTGGTATTTTCAAGTGATATTTTTTCTGTTTAAATCTTTGAAAATTATAAGTTTTCTTAATTTCTTTAAAAAATTAAGTGGCGACTCTTTTCTAAGTATTTTTCTTAAAATATTTTATACTTAGAGCATTTCAAAAAGTGATTTTTCTAGAAATAGTTAAATTACGGCACAACAATTCTTGTGTAGGAGTCATGCTGGTCTTCTCTGTATCGTTCCAATTTTGTCGGATGATAATAATTGTTTGATTAATTGAGTGGAGAATTTCTTGATTAAGGTGAACAAGGAAAAAATAACAATTATACCTTGGAATGTAGGGTGGAGCAAATTGTGCTCCCCAACTAAGGTATTAGGTATCAATAAAACTTATTATGAGACACCATGAAATGAAATGACCTTAGATGAAAATCTGAGATCTCCAAAAATGCAATTTGGTTATTTTTGAAACCTTAGTGCAGGATAGAACCTTAATTATTAGAATCCTAGGATGAATGCCCCACTCTCACCCCCACCCCTACTTTTTTAGAGGATCTTACTTTGATTATCATTGATCACTCTAAAAAATTCACTATTTTTTTATGGAAAAATATTTAGTGTTTTTTTATATATATATTTTGATTGAATCACAAGAAAAAATAGTAATGTTTTCACACAGAAAAAGTAGAAAATTTTAGTATTTCAATTAGAATTTATTTTTCAACATGCGTTTTTTCACTGAGTTGATTAAGTGAGAATGAAGATGGAAAAATCATGTTTTATAACACAATTTTTTCATAAATTCGCCGTAGAAATAGCATTTGTTTCTAGTAGTGGATATTCTCTTTGACAGGTTAATAGTAAAAGGGAAAGTTGCACATTTGGCTAGTTGGCCAAAACAATTACATTTTCTAGTTAAATATACAAAATATATACATAATATATATATATATACATATTAATAAATAAGAATATAAATATATTAACAGACCATTATTTTGGTGGACGGTTATTTATGTCTTCCTGCTTAATTTCTTTATTTTTCTCGGCAATCCCTATCCCCAATCCATCCACATCATTTGGTACTATAGTTGAAATGGTGTTATAGTTATGATCCATCCCCTAGTATATTCGCGTGTGATATACATATGATATACAACGATATACATATGGTATACAATGTAGCTATGACACATTGCACTCAAAATTGTGAACAAGGAAAAATGCAGAGGAATTTTCTTATTTCCTTTCAACTCGTCAGAATACACTGATATTACCACTATTTCAGTAGCATACTAAAAATTACAACTTATAGATCAACAAATATACATGTACTAAGCCATTGCTTCGCGATCATCTGTATCGTTGCAATCAGCCACAGATATAGTTGCCTTACAGTGAACATTCTTGTACGAATAATTCCTCGCAACAATGACATAGACACACAAATTTACTGCTGTCATGATAGCTAACAACCAGTAGAAATAGTCGAGACGACTATTATTCAGATCCTTCCCAAACCAACTCTTGCCATTTTTTTCTGTTATATGATCCACAATTGTTATCAATAGGCTGCTAACAAAATTTGCAGCACCAATTACACTAAGGTAAAATGCAATGCCTAAACTTCTCATTGAATCAGGCACTTGATCATAGAAGTATTCTTGTAATCCAACTAAGGTAAATCCATCTCCTATTCCAATTATAAGGAATTGTGGTGCTAACCAAAACACACTCATTGTACTCGAGCCTTTGAGTGGATTCTTGTGAACAAGATTCAGTCTTTTCCTTTCGACTAAAGCTGCAACGATCATAGTAGAAACAGAGAAGATCATTCCAAAACCAATCCTTTGGAGGATACTAATCCCTCTCTCGTTTCCTGTTGCCCGTCTTAAGACAGGCACGAGGATTTTGTCATAGATAGTGATGGATATTATCATGCCAATAGCAGCTAACGCGAATATTGATGCAGGGGGAATTTCAAAATTGTGAACTATCTTCCTGTCTAGAGTCACGCCTTGTTTGATGAAAAATGTCGTGGTTTGTGCCACACAAATACCAAATGGTATAGTTGTTAGCCAAATAGGAATCATGTTGATAACTAATTTCAATTCTTCCACTTTGGTTACAGTTGCAAGTCTCCATGGATTCTGTTGCTGTACTACTGAATCTTGTGTGCCATCAACAATTGCAGCTTTATCAAGGAACCTATAAAAAAAGAAGAATCACAAATTAAATATGTTACATGATTACTTTACTCTGTCTGTTTCAATTTGTTTGTCTTAACTTTCCACTAACATATTGGTACATGCCACGTATCACCAGACAAACAAATTGAAACACAGAGAGTGTATTATGTACGAATCTTACTTGAGCTTTTCGGTGTGACATAAAAGCCTCCTTTGGCTAGTGTCGGATTTGGGAATTTCATATAAATGAGAAGGATTGGCAGGAAAAAGAAGATTTTTTTTTCTTATTGCAGCTACAAACACTTGTAACATTGGTGTTAAGGGACTTCCAGTTGCCTTTCTATAACGATAGAACGGTCTACCTGCAACGAAAATGATTATACTAGAAGCCATTACTAGTGTAAGGATCAAATCCGCCATAGCCCAGCTAACTCGGTCTTGTACATAAACAATCAGAGTAGCACCAAGTAGTAGTCCACAACAGAGTCCAAAATTCCACCAGTTGAAAAAGGACATTTTCTTCTTTCTTTCTTCAGGATAGTCATCATCAAATTGGTCAGCTCCGAAGCTCTCAAGAGAAGGCTTGTGACCTCCGGTACCAATTGAGATTAAGTAGATCGCGAGGAAGAAAATCATCTTGTGGACATGTTTGTGACATAGGTCAGTGTCGCAAGGTTTCAAACTCGGGATCACTCTAGACATTGTCAAGAGAATCAAGCCCTGCAAGAAGATCATTTGGTTGTTTTCTCAATTCAAGCCTATACTAGTTATGAACTGGAATTAGTTATGAACTTCGTCACTAATCTGTTGCTAAATAGCACATAGATAACAACAATTTTACTGTTTAGCTATAAAATTTGTCTGTTGATAATTTTGTTACCAGCAAATAGACAATGGAAGAGGCAAGAACTGTGGAGAATCTTCCCAAGAATGCATCAGCAAGAAATCCTCCAAGCAATGGCATCAAAGTGGTGACACCAGACCAGTAATTGACACTTTTTGCAGCTGTTTTGAGGTCTTGATGGATGACTTTTGTTAAGTAAATAATCAAACTTGTGGCTAATCCAAAGTAACTAAGCCTCTCACTGAATTCAATTACTGTTACAAATTAAAGGTGAAAATTCATCAGTGTCTCTGATTTGCATAACCAAGAAAGAAACACGTTAACAACAACATATCTAATGTAATCCCACCAGTGAGGTCTAGGGAGAGTTGGATGTACGCAAACTTTACCCTACTTTTGTTGGGTAGAGAGGTGGTTTCTGATAGACTCTTGCTCAAAGAAGAATTGAAAGGAAAATAACGGCAACAAAATAGCAAAGAAAAGGAATATGTTAATAAAACGAAAAGCTAATCTCCTCTAAAGAAAAAATCTTGTGTCTAGTTACTAAAAGAGTGATATACAAAGTCAAAATTATTTTATATGTGCATATAGTACATGTTGAATTCCATTGACTTCTCCGTATGTTCTGAATATTGTTAGTTGAAATTCTAATTCCGCTACTGACAACAAGTGGAGTCTAGTAGTGGAACTTAATTAGTACTTGGAATACAGTTTTTATGATTCATATACTGACCAAAAAAGCTTATATTCCAACTAAGTGATAAGAAAGTTTGTTGTTTAGCAGTGCTCTAAAAAGGCAAACCAAAAACTGTTTAGTGCATGCTTTATTATTAACAATATTATGTTCAAATGGGGGCTGGTTTTATTTTAACTATCGTTTTAGCTCATTTCATGTCTGTTAAGAAAATAATAAATATAGATTATAGTTTACTAATTTATTGATTGTTTCCTCTTAAATACAATGCATTCTTAACTTTTTTCTTGAATTTCTATGGTGAGTTATTTTGGGACAATTCGTTTAAGCTAAAGTGATAGTTAAAATAGATCAGGAACTACTTAATCATGTAAGTGGTAAGTGTTACTACTTTTCTTAGTGATGTTTGTAGTATATGCTCAATAAAAAGGCAGGTCACGCACAAACATTGAGGTGAGTAAACACATCTCAAGGGGTGTAACGTAAGCAACTTTATCTTATTAGGTTTCTGGTTTTAGAACTTGACCCATATGAGTTGGGTCCATAAAAACCAAAGGAAATGAGATAAAGATATATATGACACACTTTCGGTAACATTATACAAATAGTGCTTTTGAGGACCCTCAACGATGTTGTCGTTTATGTGCTGCTTTTTTATTCTTTTTTTCCACTTCAAATGTTTGTTTTAGACAAAAGTTCTCAAATTAATTGATCTTGGATGGCAAGAACATGACAGATAGATGAAACAATGGACATTATTGCTAATACAATCTCAAAAGTTTAAACAGACAATAACATATTCTCTCAAACTCGTAACATCCGATACGTTCAGGACTGAATACGTGGACACCATAATATAGAAACCTATATTACGTTAGTGGATAAATCAAAAATATGAATGAGTCTGATTTTGATGTTATGTGGAAAAAACAAATCTTGAACTTAACTTAACGTGAGGGATTAAAAATAATAGTGATGGGATAAGGAGATAGTGATGGAATAAAAAAAAATTATGTTGTTTGGTTGTCATGTTTGGGATAACTTATCTCACCATTTATATCATAGTGATGGGTAGGGGTGTACAAAACCGAACCGAAAACCGAACCAAACCGCAAATCGAGTCAACCAAAAAAAAAACCCCGACTAGTGGTTTGGTTTGACTTGGTTAGGTATTAGAAAAAAAAAACCAACCCGAGACCAAACCAACCCGACATTATATATGTAATTTTATTTTATACATAAAAATATTTACTTTGATATAATTTTAAAATAACTTAAATCAAAATCAAATTAATAATAATGCAAAAAGAAAATCAATTCAACACTAAGAATGACAATAATATTGAATATTTGTTCTATAGTTACGTTTTACATTGGTTTAGACAATTAAAATACATAATCTAATTTTAATTTTCCTTATATATTTAGTAATGTAACTAATACTTATTAAACTTATTTTAGCATGATTTAGTACTTTTAAATTATGATCATTTTCATTATAACTTTGCAATATTTTATTTTATATGATGATTTCATTATTATTTTTTATTGAATATTTTTGTGTTGGCAGTACTAATATCATATTTTGTGTAATTTTTTTAAGAAACACCTTAGATAATTGTATTTTGGTTGGACTAAAGAAATATTTGGAGTACAAGTTAATTATATGTTTGTATGCAAACTTTACCAAAAAAATCCAAAAACCTAAAAAATACCGAGGTTTATTAGTTTGGTTTGATTTATAAATTTAAAAATTCGACACAATGGTTTGGTTTGGTATTTGAAAAACCCGAACCAACCCGAGGTTAAAAAACCCCAAAAAAATCTGAATTTTATTAGTTTGATTTGGTTTATAAATTTAAAAATTTTACACAGATGGTTTGGTTTGATATTTGAAAACCCGGAACCAACCCGGTCGTGTACACCCCTAGTGATGGGATAAGTTATCCCAGGATAGTTAACCCCAGGAGAACTTATCCTGGGATAACTTGTTTCCAACCAAACGACCCCTAAAAATTATCTCATGAACAAAAAATGTCCAAGGCCGTATCAAAAAACAACAAACTAAAACACTTATTGACTAGATAACATAAGCTAAAAGGCTACACTGACACTAGTAGCAAAGACAGAATTTTTATCAAGATTCTATATGACTCCTTCTTGGAACTTTTATAAAATGTCCACATGGAGTTTTTAAGCTTATCATGTATATAGATTGATGATAATCTTGAAATTGTTGTAAAAAATCATTTCCTAGCAACAAATCTATTTCTAATTTGTCATAGGCAAATAATTTATTTATAGAAACAATTTTTGATCCTAAGATTCCATTGGATTCCGGAAGCTCGTAGCATTGGTCCGGCACAATTCCCAAACTTAAGAAGCTGGGGGCGTGCCCGCCGGCCCCTGACCTGCCTCCGATTACTGAAAGTGAATTCGTTTTCAATTATCCTAAGCCGGCCTATCATTCATTGGTTAGGGTTAGGGAAAAAAGCTATAGAAGGTTATTTCTATGAAAACAGATACTTTAAAAATTGTTTCTTTAGGCATTTATTCCTTACCTTCCCAAGTATGAGCTTTTGTGAGTGTGAGTAGTACTTCTCCCGCCAGGGAAAAGTATTTTTATTATGTTGTGAGTATTGTAAGAACTTTGGTTAGCTTTACTCTCTGGTTTCCCAGATATAAATTTTTCAGCTTTTGCTGGGGGTGAGCTTTCTGCTCGACTTTTTTCAGCTTTCGCTCTTTTCCTTTCTCATTGAAGTATGCAGCGAGGAATCGAAGGGATGAGACCCGATTCAATTCTGTGATTAAATAAAATTCTTCCCTATATATATATATATATATATAGTGTGTGTGTGATTTACGAAAGAACGTCCCCTTCTGCCCCTCTAACTCCGCTACGGACTAAAATTATTCATGGTTATAAATTACTTACCAATAATGAAGAGAGAGGCTTTCCATACACCAGTTGAACCCCTGAGAGGAACTCTTCCTTTATGATCCAAAGAAGAATCATTAACCCATTTTTGCTCATCAATTTCTACTAATTCTTCTCTTCTCTTTATTTTATCCATATTTTTTTTGGCTATAAAAAACACCAAAGAAGATATATATATAACAATAAGTACAAAAGTGTGTGAGATAACAAATTGTTGTGTTGTCAGCTTTGGTTTGCTCACCTTATATAGAAAGAGGAATATTATCCCTGTTGACTGATATTGACTAATTAAAGTTTAATTATTGAGATTATGAAATTAATTACTAATTTATTTATTTATTTACTAAATTTTATTGTCAGTGACTGTGACAGAGGAAGAACATATAATCTATTCCACTAAATTAAAGTTGTCCTTGTCCCTAAAAATGTACATGAGGAATAACATTAATTTACGGGTCCTAAATTTTTTTATTTTGTGTCTCGTATAACTGATATAATTGATGAAATAAAAAGACGTCTACACTAGTAATTGTGTGATGAGACACAAAATGTTAAAAACAAATTATGGTCCAATCAAATTCATGATAGTAGATATTGAAGAGCCCTATTATAATTTTGATCATGCTATCTTCAATAGGCTTAAATTTATATTTATGAGTTCATATTTTATTAGAGTATTCACATTTTTATAAGATAAGAATGTTGTACTCGAAATTTGAGATTTGGCTTTGTATGCTAGGTGTTACGAGAAATAGTATAATTAGGAAAGAGTGCAATATTGGTATGCTTAATCTAGTTTCATATATCGAGAAATATTCTCCTCTAATTTCTAGTTATAACTTTGGTTTAAATTTTATATTTATATTAGGAATAAGGGTCTGAAAAATACTCTAATTTTGGTCGAAATTATTATTACGATACCAAACTTTAATGAGGACCTATTACTCCCAGACTATTTAATACCGTATTTTAAACATATATATTTGCCCACGTGGACATAAAAAATAATGCAAAATTATAAATAGTACTTAATGTGTCCACGTGGGCACATATATACCTTTAAAATACACTATTAAATAATTCATGGGGTAAAACATACACTATTAAATAGTTCAGGGGGTAATAGATCCTCCATAAAGTTTGGTATCGTAACAACAATTTCAGTCAAAGTTAAGGTATTTTTCAGACCCTTATCCCTTTATATTAAGTAATGGTCATTAAATATTAAAAAACATTTAGTAGGCATATGTCCATAAATTTCAAATATTACCATTTTACTTAGAATTTATGAATTTAAAGTTCTAACATGGAGTTATACACTTGCACTTATTGCAAATGAGATAAGAGAGCATAATATTTGGAATCATGAAAATAGAGTTAAAAGGTAGGTTATAAGCTGTTTTTTAAATTTGATATCTAACTTAAGCTAAATTTTGAAATTTTCATGACGAACCATTAAATTTTAAATAAAGTAAAACATTATTCTAAAAAAATGAATAGGTAAAGTATTCATTACCCCCCTGAATTTAAAGCTTTTTATTCGGTGTACACTTAAACTATATTTCGTTTTAATTATCCCTCCGAACTTGTTTATTCCTCCATCACGTACGCCTATTTTGTCCACCTGCTCCTATTCTGACTGCACGCGCGCGACAGCTAGCAAAAGTGGTGATGTGGATTTCCACCTGGATAAATAATAGCCACCTAGATAAATTAATATGGCAAAAAATAAATATCAAACATTCATTGTTTAAAAGTTATTTTTGAATAAGGGTTGATTTCGCGGAACTCCTTTTGGATTTGGGTTTTTCTAGACGTGAAGTTGGTCGATTAAATTTCAAATTTGTCTGAAATTCTTACCAAGTAAGTGTTAATCTTTGTTTCCTTTACTTTTCATTTGCATTTTGCCCCTATTTTTCGTTTAAAATATGCCAAATATTAAAGAAAAATGGAGATTTTACGTTTTTTTACCGTTATAGCTTTATGATGTGGCAAAAAATCATTTCCTCATGCGCCTAGTAGAGTGTGTTGTCAATTTCTACGCCAGGTGGACAATAAAGGTGTACACGATGGAGAAATAAACAAGTTCGGGGGATAATTAAAACGGAATATAGTTTAGGTGTACACCGAATAAAAAGCTTCAAGTTCAGGGAGGTAATGAATACTTTAGCCTATTTTTTATGATCGAACGTATTGTCCTATTCATTAGATACTAACACTTAATATTCCTTATTAATTATTGGCATAATACATAAACATGACATTTAACTTAGGGCCCGTTTGGCCATGCGATATGGAATCATGAGATGAAATTGAAGTTTTGTTTGGACATGCGATATGGAATTTTTGTGTTGTATATTTTCTCATAAACATAAAAATTCCATAAGTTGTAAAACTATTAAAATAGCCCCAATTGTTTATTCAATCTTATCAAATAAACAAAAATTTATAAAATCGCATACTAAATTATTATAAAGTTATTTGTTCTCCACTTAAGTAATTGTTTGATCATCTAACTTTAATTTAATAAAAAAATAAATTGAACATAAATTGTAGTGTACTAGTCTTTAATATAATCCTCCCACAAAATACAGACAATTTCCTCACGTTGAACTTGCATTTCTCGATCATGTGACCGAGAAGACGAACCAACATTGTTACTTTGAGCCATTTGTTGGTCAATATCATCCGCAACTATATTTTCATGCTCATAGACCATAAATATTTCATCAGTACTTTGGTATTCTCGCAAATAATTATGTAACACTGCACAAGCTATGACAATTTTCACTTGTGTATCAATATGATAATGGTTCATGCCTTGTTTCAGTATTCTAAATCTATTTTTCCAAGCTCCAAAAGTATGTTCAATCACATTGCACAGAGATGAATGCCTATAATTAAACAGTTCTTTGGCATTTTGAGGCTCTCTTTCACTTCCTCGGTAATCTTGAAATGATAGCGTAGTCCTTTGTATGGAGCAAAAAATCATTTTGTGTTTCGGAAACCAGCATCAACAGCATAATATTTATCTACCAACAAACATTTTAATAAAGAATTACTAAAAGCATATGTGACGTAAATGAGACAACTTTGTGTAAATAAATAATATTTATTCTAAGGACGTAATTTAAAGTTACCATGTGGCGGAAATGGAAATTGTGACGTTGGTTCAATTAATTTATTAGAGTAAAATGAAGAGAAGACCTTTGACTCCATGTTCAAATAGATATAAATTTTATTACATATGAAATAAATGGTTAGTAGATATTAAATTGTTGGGGGTTGTTTTTAACTAAAAATATAAAACTCGTGGATCAATTTTTTGTATTAAAATATTTCAAATCATGATATGGAATTCTCATATAATTGCATATCATGGTTTTTGGAGAATATGGAATCACATCTCATGATATGGAATCATGAGATGGAATCAGCGTAAAATCGCATGTCCAAACGTTGATTTCATCTCACGATACCATATCATGATACGGTATCGCATGGCCAAATGCCTACTTAGTGTTAGCTGGCAACTATGAGATTTAACTTTGTGTGTGCACAAGTAGGCACTTACACTTGTATAAAATTGAACAAATAGACACATTCATCCTACATGGCACTCTACATGACAATTTTGTGTCCGACGTGTATTATGTCATGTAGGAGACGTATGTCTACTTGTTCAATTTTATATAAGTTTAAGTGTCTACTTGTGCATACTCAAAGTTTGAGGGTATAGTTATCCGTTGAAACCAAGTTAAGAGCCGTGTTTATGTATTATGCCTTAATTATTTTGGAAATTCTAAAATTCAAATATTGACTCTAAACTCTCATATCATATCTATTAGGGACAAGGGTTTGAAAAATACTCCAACTTTGGCCGAAATTGTTGTTACGATACCAAACTTTAATGAGGACATATTACCCCCCCCCCCCCCCCTCAAG